GTTCTATTTCAAGAAATCTTTGAGAAAAGAAAAAGATAGAGTTGTGGAGTACTTTACAATAATTAGAAACCTAATTAAAATATTGTTCTTTTTTTCATTAATAAATGGTTAAGCCCACCATGTTGTACATTCTTTATAAAATTATTCTTACAGCTTCGTCAGATTTAGAATTTGTTTCTTTATAGTTGGATAATGTATAAAGATTTTAGATATTGGTTTACCATTTAATTTAACTGTGTCTAGTACTCTCTCTTTAGTTAACAAATAAGCTTTTTAAAGTAAAGAGAAATAAAACATTGCTATTTTTACTGTTTTTGTCCTATAATTTTCCGTTTTTGACCTTTCATTCCAAGTTAATTCACTTATCACGTAAACAGAGGCATATTGGATGTTAGATTTTTATCATGCGTCTAAATAGAAATAGAAATTGCCCTTGAAAAAAATAGCAGTTTTTCTGAGTAAAATTCTGAATTTGGAGCAAAAAAAAAATATTTTTGGACAAAAAACTTTTGTATATGATAATGGATTTTTTGAAAATTCAAAAAATGTAATTGTTTATCGCAATAAATTTTATTTACCCTTCATTTAAAAAGGGGCGTGCCCAACTCACAACGGTATATTTGTATATTCATAACTCGGAAGATATCGTCGTTTTGCCAGCTTTTAAAGTGTTTGAATTCTGATCATTTTTGCCAGCCCCTTTTACCTTTAAAATAAAAAATATGGATATCTTACTCATTTATTTTTAATATCTCAAAGCTTATAGGGGCCCTCTATGAACTAAATATTAAGTCTACAGTTCCTTTAGGGACCATGCACAAAGGCTTAAACACTATTATCTAAATTTTGATTCATAATCAAAATAACGTCTACAAAAATCCCCCTTGTCTTTTCGTCAAATTTTGAGGGCACTGTACAATTTCCCTGTAAACATTCCCTATCAGCATTCTATATTCTACCCTTTCTCCGCAAAGAGATTAATAACATATAATTATTATGACAGTCAGAATATAGAAATTTATTTTAAAGTAAAATATATTTGAGGAAAAGATTTTTTTAACAATAACCTCTTAAGAGCTATTTATTATCTAATACAGTCAAGGGCCTATACGGGGGGGGGCAAGGGGCAGTGCCCCCCCCCCTAGAACTCAGAGCTATCAAATCTGAAACTGAAGAGTGAAGAACATAAAATTAGTTTACCTTTAAAGTATCCAAGAAGCCAAATGTTTTAAATTTACAGTTTAAATTTTGCCCCCACCCCTAGGAGCCCCTGGGGGGGGGGGGGGGAGGTAAAAAAAATTTGTGCCCATCGCGCATATTTGGCTCCACCTAGATTTATTTCTGTATACGCCCTTGAGTACAGTGCAAGAATTTCAAGACTATTCACCAACTGTCATATTTCGTGGGACAGGGTGTATAAGATTTTAAATTCACCAACTGTCATTATTTCATGGGACGCCCTGTATTAGATTTTAAATTCACCAACAGTCATATTTCCTGGGACACCCTGTAAAAGATTTATATTCACCAACTGTCATATTTCGTGGGACACCCTTTATAAGATTTTAAATTTACCAACCAAATGATTTGTGAATAGAAACGGTTTTACGGGTGCACAGAGATTGTGAGGAAATAACTAAATTTATAATTGAATCAGATCACATCAGAACAGTTCAATTAAAATTGAATCAGATCACATCAGAGCAGTTCAATTCAAATTGAATCAGATCGCATCAGAACAGTTCAATTAAATTGAATCAGAACACATCAGAAAAGTTCAATTAAAATTGAATAAGATCGCATCAGAACAGTTCAATTAAATTGAATCAGATCACATCAGAACAGTTCAATTAAAATTGAATCAGATCACATCAGAACAGTTCAATTAAAATTTAATCAGATCACATCAGAACAGTTCAATTAAAATTGAATCAGATCGCATCAAAACAGTTCAATTAAAATTGAATCAGATCACATCAGAACAGTTCAATTAAAATTTAATCAGATCACATCAGAACAGTTCAATTCAAATTGAATCAGATCGCATCAGAGCAGTTCAATTCAAAAGTTTCCAGTTGCACGATTGATAATAAATTTAAACAAACCATTAGAAAACAAGAAACTTTGTCAACTGTTTACAAAATGTTCGATTTATTGAAATAAAATTAATCATGAAACAATTGTGTGCTTGTACAACTGCAATGAAATGTCGTCTTCGGGGATTTTTTTTTATAAAATGTCGTCTTCGGGGAATTTTTTTAGAGAGTGGAAAAAAATATTTTTATTGGCAGTGGTTGACGTTCAATGATTAGAGAAATTATGTCTATTAAACTAAAATATGGAAAAGTTTAATTGTTTTTTGCACAGTTTTTTTTCTATAAAATTTAATGTATATCGAAAAAAACTATATTGACGATAATCACAAAATAGTCCTGGAATTTCCAAAATGTTGTCTGCCTTTTTTGTGCTTTCAATATCACTTGCAATATGATGAATTAGGTTAATATTTCGACAATTTTGTGTTTTTTTACAAAATTGAAATCTAAACAAAATTCCTATTGAAAGCACAAAAAAGCCAGACTACCTTTTGGAAATGCCAGGGCTAGGAGATTTATTTGGTGAATGTTTCAAGAAGGTTCATGTTAAAGTAGGTTGACGTCTGCATGTCACAAAAAAATTCAAATATCAAAGACGACTTTCAATTCGTCTTGCTACTATCATGTTTCGTGGGACACCCTGTAGTTTTTAGAACTAATATTAACAAAACGTTGTCTGAGTAGTTTACATAGAAGGGAAAAGAAGAAAGAAGAAGAAGGAGAAAGAAGGAGAAAGAATATCAAAGACGACTTTCAATTCGTCTTGCTATTGTCNGTTTAAAAGGAGGTATAAAAGGAGGAATAAAAGGAGGTATAAAAGGAGGTATAAAAGGAGGTATAAACTAACTGTAAATTCCGTTTTTTATTCTCTAAACAGAAAACAAAGAAAAATAATTTTTCCAATTAATTGAAAACATGAGGTTGCAGTTTCCAGTATTATAGTGGAGCTTGAGATTAAAAATACAAGAAACAAAATGTCGTCTTCAAGGATTTTGAAAAATTAAAGATTTTGATTTTAAAATCTTATCTAATAGACAATTTTAATAAAAGAATGATTCTTTTTAAATAATTGTATTTAGTGACATTTTAGAAAAACCGATCTTCTCACAAAATACATTTTTAAGATTATTCATTTAAAATGAAAAANTAGAGTGTAGACTTAATCTATTTTCTGATTTAAACATATTGTAGAGTGTAGACTTAATCTACTATCTGTTTTAAGCATATTGTAGAGTGTAGAATTAATCTAATATCTGATTTAAACATATTGTAGAGTGTAGACTCAATCTACTATCTGTTTTAAGCATATTGTAGAGTGTAGAATTAATCTTCTATCTGATATATACATATTGTAGAGTGTAGAATTAATCTTCTATCTGATATATACATATTGTAGAGTGAAGACTTAATGTACTATCTGATATATACATATCGTAGAGTGAAGACTTAATGTACTATCTGATTTAAACATATTGTAGAGCGAAGACTTAATCTACTATCTGATATAAACATATTGTAGAGTGAAGACTTAATGTACTATCTGATTTAAACATATCGTAGAGTGAAGACTTAATCTTCTATCTGATTTTAAAATATTGTAGAGTGTAGACTTAATGTACTATCTGATTTGAACATATTGTAGAGTGAAGACTTAATGTACTATCTGATTTAAACACATTGTAAAGTGAAGAATTAATGTACTATCTGATTTAAACATATTGTATAGTGAAGACTTAATGTACTATCTGATTTAAACATATTGTAGAGTGTAGAATTAATCTACTATCTGATTTAAACATATTGTAGAGTGAAGACTTAATGTACTATCTGATTTAAACATATTGTAGAGTGTAGAATTAATCTACTATCTGATTTAAACATATTGTAGAGTGTAGACTTAATCTATTTTCTGATTTAAACATATTGTAGAGTGTAGACTTAATCTATTATCTGATTTAAACATATTGTAGACTGTAGACTTAATCTATTATCTGATTTAAACATATTGAAGACACAATCTAATATCTGTTATATTCAAATTGTAGACTCGATTTACTTTCTGATTTTAAGGAAAACATTTATTGGTCATTTACAAATAGATAATTAAACATGTATATTGTGATAGTTGACAAGACTTAATTAATCATAATAATATCATAAAATAAAGCAGGGAGTTGCAAAATCAAATGTTTTTATTTTATTTTACACTGTACCCTGTATCTGTATGTATAAAAGCTATTCAGAAATAATTATGGAACTCCACAAGGAATTGTTAGTTCATGAGAATGGTTTTGATTTCGAATTTAATTATGCTTCGGGTTCATACCAGCTTACTTGACCAATAACATCAAAGAAGTCAGGGGTACCTATAAATCAGATAATATTGTTTTGTAAACTCATATATCTGATGAAGTCAGGGGTACCTATAAATCAGATAATATTGTTTTGTAAACTCATATATCTGATGAAGTCAGGGGTACCTATAAATCAGATAATATTGTTTTGTAAACTCATATATCTGATGGGCAAAAAATTGTTGTGAAGGAGAAATAAAAAGAAGTTAATTGTGAGCTGTGCTTTTTTTTTAAAGAATTTTACATTTTTCGTGGTTGATAAACTAAGAACTAACCTGCAAGGGAACCACACTTCTTTTCTATATGAGCAGCGAGATTAGGGGGTAGAATCTCAATCATGGTTTTGCTAGCAAGCTTGTGCATGCTGTTATTCTTGTGATGTCCTCTGGGAAGATCACCAAACATATCCCAAGATAGTTCATAGATACGCTTGATAATCTGAAAAAAAAGGTTTTGATTACAATAATCAAGAAGAAATAGATTGTCTTAGATTGTCTTTATTGTTTAGAAATAATTTAAAATTACCAATTTCATGTTTTCTTTGAACTCAGCAGCAGCGAGAAGAGCCTTAAGTTCTTCCAGCTTCTCATCTGGAATCTTTCTCTCCCACTCAAGCTTTCCTCGTCCCTCAGCAATCATTGTTCTTAGATTGGAGTTAGCATCCATGAACTGTGTGAAGGTTTGGGGAAATCCCTTGGGTCCAACCTCTCTCACATACATGGCGAACACAATGAGGTAGAAATACCTCTCGATGTTGTTCATGATCTTGTTTTTCAGGTATGCCTGCCAGTCATCACTGGACACATCAAAGCTCATCTTAGACTCAATAATACATTCTCTGATGTTCTCAACTCCAGTTCCACGTGGGGGAGGGGCAGCAAGATCAATCAGTTTATCAACTTGAGCCTTAGCAACCTTTGCATTGGGGAAAGCACTCAACAACTCCTTGATGACTTCAAACTCTCCCATCTGCATTGCATTTCTGTCTTCTTGAACATCAATATCAATCCCTGGCAGACCCAATTTCTTCTTCTTCAAAGCATCCAGGATGTCGTCAGGGACAATGCCTCGCATTCTTTCAAGTTCCCTGGCAAGTTGCAACTCTTTTACCAAGGCGGCAATAACAATAGCTGTAGTTGTACGAGATATTCCAGCCTAAATATATAAGGACATTGGTTTTAAAACTATCCTTGATAATTTCTTAATGTGCAATTTTGAGTGGACCTTCAAGTAAATATTGAAATAGACACTTAATGTTTTTATCTTTATTAATCAAGAAAGTGGAAGATATTGACGCTCTTCTAGGTTTAAAAGTGTTTCATGTGTATTAATTACTTTTTAAGAAAACCCACAATAGAATTTAATCAAAATTATGATCATTAATTTCTTAATCAGATATGAGCATTTAGGATATCACGGTGAATCAGGCGCTGTCATCTATGCATGGAGGGTCACTTTATATTTAAAATTAAGCTTAGAGTCCTTTTATTGGCACTATGCTTTGCATTTGCAACATAAATCTTATAACAAGCTCTTTTAAAAATATTTTTAGAAAACCATTTGGGTTATCCAGGGAAAAAATTTAATGAATTTGAAGTCACGGCTTAACTACATATATTGAATCAGTGATTCATCATTTGTCTATGATCTACAAGTTTAGAATTGGTATGAAAGGAGCATTAAAATACAAAGTTGAATCATTCAATTTGGTCCCAGACCTGGCAATTGAAGATAACTGGGCAGGAAGCTGTAGTGTCCTTTAGCATAGCAACAATCTGATCAAAATTTGCCTCTGCGGGGGCCTGCTCCTGGTTCATGGGGATCCTCAGGGGCTCCAGCTTGGGAACTTTCTCCTGGAAAAAAGGGATTTCATGCGTTTGAAAATCGTTTGTGTCAAACCCATGTATTATTAAATATTTCTCAAAAAGTATTGTTGAACCTTTTAATACCAAGAGGGGTGTCCATGGGCAAATGCTTTTTAGCGGTTAACATTCGGAATGGGAACACTGTGCCAGTCTTTAAATCTTCTAGCACCTTTTTTTGGCTACAAGCTTGCATTTTTAAAATTTTGTTTTATTATGTGAGACCCTTTTTTTCATGTCATACTCTTTGCTTCAGACTGAGCCCTGTCTACTTTATGATGTTTTTTTTTGGAATTTAAATTTCTTTTCAATCCATTTCCTGTTATTGGATTAATTGTTTAAGAATGTATAGCCTGTTGGAAAGCATATGATGATTAAGATAACAGATTGCACAAGGATTGCAAAGACACTTTTATTAGAACTTTTAAAAGAAAGCCTTAAAGCTTTCCAAAAATGACACAAAACCATCATACACAAGATAATACAGAGTTTGAATTTCAGAAGTAAGGTTTTTCTTCAAGAATAGTAGAAGTACCTTGATAGCAGCGTATATCTCATTAACAGTGGTTACACACTCTAGCTTCTCGGTGGACTCAACATTAGTGGCTCTCTCCTCAGGATGCTCCCCAAACTGAGTTGAAAACTGTATCATTTACATGTAAACTTTGGATAATTTCAAATACCGAGTTGACTTTTAACCAGCTAAAGCAAAAAATACAATTACAGACTATGTAAGGCAAACCAGGACTGTACACCAAATGAATGATTACCTTTTTTTAAAATGTATGTGACATGTCTGACATTGAAATAAACAGTTAATAAAAATTACACAAGAAATTGCTGGAAAGTATACTTTATCGAAAGACAATATTTTGTCTTATTTTTGTGTTTCGAAAGAATATTTTCGGAAATTCATTGTTCAGTTATTAATGAAGAATAATGCCATGCATTTAAGCTGACAAGATAATCCTTATTTTTTTAAAGATGTTTAAAATCAACAAATTCGATTCATGAATGATATTGCATTTATTTTGTAATATGCTTAATTCTATGACGCTTCGCACCCCTCTTCTAGCAACAATGCTAGCATTTAAATGTTGCTTTTACAGAAAAACTAAGAAACAAAAAAACTAAATGTTTATATAGATTTAAATGAATAATGTACCTGATCCTTGAAAAACTTGAATTCATCTCCACGCTTCTTGATTTCTTCAGCAAACTCCTGCTCAATGGCAGCACACTCCTCGGGGTTGTTAATCTCAAGGTGGAAGTTTATACTAAAACAGATCTTTAGGTTAAAAGATTATAAAACTGACAAATTTAATATCAGAGTTTGTTCTTTATAAATGTGATTCAATCTCTACCTAACACACATCTGATTCAAGCTAAAAAGTACTGCAAGAGCTCTTAAATTCTCTAACGCTAGGAAAAATTTTCTTAATCTGGTTATGTTATCATGTGTACAACCAAATACCACTTTTTCCATCAACAAAAGATTAGTATAGATGTGGCTTGGGCTGGAATTGAAGCTGTTAAAGAAATTCAACATTTTCACTTAAAAACAATCATTAGACTTTTTAAATGTTTCTTGGTCATGACTCATGTTGTAACCAATTTTTGGAAAATCAAACCCGCACCTAATGACCTATAGAAAAATGTTTAACTGACACATGCATATTCAAAATCATAATCCTATTAAAATGAATTTTCCATCAGGTTGCTTAAATGAATTTAAAAAAAACTACAAAATATTGATAATTAAAACCGAAAGAAATCATAAATCAAAATGTAAAAAGTAAAAATAATTCTAATATATGCATGCAAACCAATCTACCCACAAAAACTAAAACTACTAAAGTATAACTAAATTTTTGAATTAAAAGAATAATTTCAAATTTATTATTGAAATTAAATTTGACATTAGTAAATCTAATAATCTAAAATGCTCTTTAACAACGTTAAAAACTGTATACTTTTAACATACTTTACAAATCATGTGCCTAAATTTTTTTTCTTATTCATTTTAATTTTTAAAGTTAAACATTAAGGTGAATTTTAAGAAAAGAATGCAATGAATTTTCCTTTTCAGGTATTTGACAGTAGTGCAAAACAGCAAAATTATTTAAACAATTTACAACAGCTAAACTAAATTATATTTTAATTCTAGTTTCTTCCAGTCACCAATACTTACGGATTACAGTTGAGCCCTATGGAGGCAGAGGGGCTGAAGAAAAAGAAAAATAATGAAAGGGTTTGGTTAGTCACGTACTGGGTTACCTACAGAGGATAAGACTTCAGAGACGACTGTACGGAATTCAAAATGTTTTCTTATATTCATGATTACATACAGCTATAAAATTTCTTTTTTTCTTTGCCCAATAAATAGTCCATTTAAAGACAGCATTCAAAGCAGAAGGTTTAATTTAAGCTTGGTATTGTCATATCTTAATACTTTCAATACATTTTCACAGACTCATCCTGTATGGGTAACCCTATAGATACAAGGCCTTCAAGGGTTGATTGCTGCATGCTTTTACACGCTGGAAAATCATCAATCAATTTTGAAAAATGATTGTATTTTTTACTTTTTGTTTATCAGTAAAATCAAAATTCTTTTGTGGGAAAAGGATCTAGGTTCAAAACTTTCACACCTTTTTACATTTTTTTGTTCCTTTCAAAATTGTAAATTATCTTAGATTTAGACCTGAAGTACAGTAAGAGATGATGATGAGAAAAAAAGGGAATTATAGGAAGGATACATTTTAAAGTAACATTTTAAGACTGGTGAGAAACAATTGTTGGTAAATGAAAAATCAATATGGAAATTTTTTTGCAGAAGGTTTCTGTTTATTAAATTTGTTCTATAAAAAATGTTTCTGCTAAAAAAAAGTCTGTTTGCACAACAAAAACAATCTGTATAGCAGTTTTCTTAAACTATATGGTATAATATTGATAACAGGAAATTTTAAAAAAATGTATCTTCTAAATTTTAATTTCAACCCCACTTTTTTGCTACAATCTTAATTATTATTTATAAAATGTTCATATACTTGATTAACTGAATGATGATAATTAGTTTATATTTAAATTATCTTATATTGGTTCGAGTATGTACAAGGGAAAGGTATGCAAGGGAGAGAAAAGGATTAAAACAACTTTGCTTTTTAGTCTGGTTTAAAATGGAGAAATGTTATTACAAACAAGTTTTTAAACTCTTTTTTAAAAAGTTTTTAAGAATTTTTTCTTGAAACTGTATTTATAACATTAATCTCCAGGTGAATATTCCCACCAACTAAATTGCAAAATTTAAAGTTTATCAATAAATATAATTGCGAGTTGTAAAATATGAAGACTATGGACTTGAATTGGTGATTTTTCAATGATTGCAACCAATCAGAATTAAGATAACATATGTAAATAATCCTCATATACTACTACTTATATTGAAACATACTCTTGATTGGGGTTGTGAGGATCAATGACGATCTCCAGGCTGAACATTTAGATTAATTAATATATATTATAGAAATACAGTAAAATTCTTCTATTGCGTTTTATATTCAAGAAATGCACAAGTCGCTTTCGCAGAGGAACTGAAAATATAAATAAACGGTTGGAGGAACAGTTTTGAAATTCTTATTCCACCATACAAAAATTCTTTATTCCACCATACAAAAAATCGAAATGCCATTTCTTCTTTCATTTAAATTCAATATCTTTACCCGATAAAGCAGTGTTTTCCTTTAAAAAAAATTAATTAATAAGTAATAATTCATATGTTAATGTTTCCAACCTATTAAACTCCTAATTATTCCACTTTAGTTAAGTTTAACAATGAAAGGTTATGTTTTAAATGTTATTATCGTAGCAATGATTAAAATAATGATGCAGTAAAAAAACTTTGCTATTAATTTTCTTTAATTAGTTGCAAGTACAATTTTAAAGCCAGAACTTTTGATGGGGAAGGGGTAATTTAGGCAAAGAAATGGGGCCAGACAAAGGAGAGGGGCAGGGCAGGTGCAATAAAAACAAATCTTACTTTTTAGGATCCCGAGCAGTGAAGGGTTTATTGTTTACATAAACAACTGGTTCCTGTCTAAACAAAAAAAAATATCTAAACATCTTGATTAATATAATATGTAAATAAAATGTAAAATTGTGATCAAAATTTAAATCTTGCTGGAACAAATACTGAAGAGTTAAATCCAGAATCACGGTTTCTTTCATTTCAATTTAATCTCTTTTTGGTCTGAAATGATTCAACAATCTTTTAACTTAAAAAGTGTAAAATAGAAAAAAAGAAACATTATCTTTAATTGTTCAAATTGTGATCGAAAGTCACATTTACCTGAGGTTAACCCAAAAGATGTGTTTCTCATCTCCATACTTCTTCAGAACCGGTTCTAGACATGTCTCAAACCCTTCACGAATGGGGAAATATTCTTAAATCCTTATTTATTTTTATTTTAGGAGTCTAGGGTGAGGGGGGGGGGCTGCCAGAGTAGTTTTTAAACCCATTTAAACCATTTTGCAATTTCAAGATCTGCTTCATGTCCAATTTAAAGCAGTAACCTTTCATGCTTAATCTGATCAATAATGTAGAAGATATTGTCGTTCTTCTAGTTTGACAAGTGTTTAATTTTGATCATTGGTTCATTTTTGTCCTGCAATAGAAATGCTCAAGTTCTTTTGTAAAGAAACCAGAATTTAAAAATGATCAAATTTTAAAATTATGAGCATTTGGATAACTTATTCTTATTCTCTTTGATCAGAAGAAAGTGTAAATGGTACCTACGTAAATCAAACATGCCACTCGAAACAAAAAGATTACTTAAAAACATGCCCTTCAAGCCTATATCTAAGCATTTAAGGCAGAAAAACTTGTCTCAAGAGCACCCTTTTGCTTATAGAAAAAAGGTGGCATAATTTTTTAAGATCCAGGTTTATAGTGTTCCTTATTTCAATGATACACTAACTTAAGTTTAAAATGATTAAATTCTTGTTTTTCTTTGGGATTGTAGAAATTTTTTCATTAAAATTGTGCAGAAGATTCCTCTGCAAATTGTTCTAATTTTGTTTTCTTTGCTAGGGAAAAAAAAATATTGACTTTGGGTCAAAGTTAAAAGAGGTTTTTATAAAAAGTTTTTATTTTCCATCCCTTGAATAGTGGTTTGACCAGTTCCAAACAAAGGAAATCCAGGCAACTGAAATATAAATCATTAGATTTACAGAACTTTTTACAAAGGAATTGAGTCTGAAGCCACAAACTCTGGTTTTCTAATCCAATTTCTTATTTGTGTGAATTTTGGTAATAAAATAATCAATGCTAAAAATATCACTAGGTTACACCATAAGAAAATTTGAGTTTGTGGCAAAAACTCAACTACATAGTTTTACTTTAAGAGCCGACACTTCCCCCCTATCCCCTCCCAGCTGTCAACTGTCTAGATGTCTAGCTGTCTAACTTTCTAGATATCTAGCTCTTGAGCTGTATTATAGCTGTCTATCTATCTATCTGTCTAGCTGTTCATCTATCTATCCTTTTATCTATTTATCTATTTATCTATTTTAGTTTTTAAACTTCACACTACTCAAAATTCTTAGAACAACTCTATATATCTAAAATATATCTATATATATATCCTTATCTATCTATATATCTATCTATCTATCTTTATGCTGGAAACTGGGCAACATAGCTGGGTAAGGTCAAAGTAAACCTGACATCGCTCTACACAATTTCTCAAGTTTAAAATACAAAATTTCTCAGCTCTTTACTTACTTTCCTCGGCGCACTTTAATTTCCTTCACTTATTTACATGCAATTTAAAATAAAAGCAATTTAATTTTTGTAACTGTTTTTTTTTCATTGCCGAATTTTGAAGAAATATGTTTTAATTCTTCCTTCCATAAACCAATTCGTAGGTCATCTGAGGTTCCAAAAAAGCCGTAAAATACGTAAAATACACAAACGTCAGACGTTTACAAGTATTAAAAGTAATAAAAAACTAACCCTTCTGAAGTTTGGTGCCCCTTCAGTTCTGGGAGCTCCTTCTGCTAGTCTTTAAAACAAATATTCAGTTTTTTAATGTATAATTTTTAAAAATACTATTCTTTTATGTTTTGATTTACAATCTCCAAATTATAATGAAGATTCTGGGCAGCATGAAGACATGTTTTAATTGATTTTTTTAATCAAAACTCCCTTTTTTGTAAAACTTTAAATTTGTTTTAATCAATTTTTTTAAGTTCTCAGCTCGACATTTAAATAAAAATTTTATTTTAAATTTTAGTTCTTATAAATATTTAAGTGTAGGTATACCACTAGGGCACTAAGCTTGATTCCAAAGCCCATCCTACTAAATATAAAGGCATCTGAATATCTAAAAATCGAATTATTTTGATATCTGACTATTTAAATATTTACCTATCAATGCCCTCGAAGGCATCAGTCATTGCCTTGAGTTCAGCTGCGGGGGGAGCCATGTTGCCTGCCCTAAATCAGTATAAAAACATAATATAATTTGGTTCAACAACTAGAAATTAAAAAAAAGTTAGAGTATGTAGAGTGTCTGCAAGTTTTTGAACCCTTATTAGAATATCGATGTTTCAGAATGTCTGTATTTTGTGGGAGTTTGTTAAACAATCCATGAATTAGGTTGGTTGAACACTCTTTGAATAAGGTTGGTTGAACAATCCCAAAATTAAGTTTTTTGAACAAATACTTAAATTAGGTTGGTTGAACAATCCTTGAATTAGGTTGGTTGAACAACCCTAAAATTAGGTTGGTTGAAAAATCCCAAAATAAGGTTGTTTGAACAAATACTTGAATTAGGTTGGTTGAACAACCCTAAAATTAGGTTGTTTGAACAATCCCAAAATTAGGTTTTTTGAGCATGGACTCAAAATTAAGATGATTGTACCATTAGTATGAGCAAAACCTAAATATAAAAGTGTGCTATGTGCAAAATTCAAAATTGTTTAACAATATATAAATTGTGAGAGGGAACATGCCGTGATGGTTGAGAATACTAATTACAAATCCAGCAACCTGTATCGACTTTTGTTTGGTGGGTAAAAGTGTGTGATGTTAAAAATAAATATTATTTTATGACATTTTGAATGAGAGAGAACGCCCTGTCATGATGGTGAGAATACTAATTACATTTTGTTTGGTGGTAAACTGCTTTTTAGCAGTGTGTAATTTGAAAAATATGAAATTATTTTAAAATATACTGAATGTGAGAGGGATGCACCCTGGCCTACTCCAGCTACCTGTATTGACCGTACTAAACTGACCTCTGCCTAGCTTATTCTCAATCCAGGGCCAACACATTTTTGGCAGTATTNGACGTTAGTTTTGGGGAGAGGAGAGGGGGTATTTAACTATTAAATTGTGCTAATATACACTATATAAATTTTATCAAATAGGAGATGAAAAAGGGCACAAAAATATGTTTAGTATTTTATCATATTTCTTTTCTCAACTACAAAGAAATTTCTTATCGTAACTCTGAATAAAGTTTGTCAATCACAGAAGGTTTAATGCTGGATATGATGGATAAAACAAAAACTATTGGTATAGTTACAGTGCTACCAACTTCAGTGTGCAATTGAGATCTTAGACTTTCAACCCATAGTCGGATAAATGAGATATTTGACATTAAAACTGTTGGGCAATTGAAATTTTAGACAATCAACCCATCGTGCAATTATGATTTTAGAAATTGAACTCTAGTGCAATTGAGATTTTAGACATTTAAACCTTAGTTTCATTTAGACTTTAGACATTCAAACTCTATTTCAATTGAGATTTTGGACATTTAAGTTTCATATTTTAGACGATTACTCCTAATTTAGTTTAGTTTAGACATTCACTCTTAACATTTAGAATGTTAACGTTCTTTTTAAAGAATTTTTACCATTACATCCTTTATAGAGCAATTTAGATATTGGAATATAACCCTAGTTTATCAACATTTTTTGACATTTAAATGATAGTTGGTAATAGGTACACCTGGAATTTTATTTTCAAAAATGCAGTTAAGCTTTTAGACATTGTGCAAATGAGAAATAAGGGTTCATTTAAATTTTATATTATCAAACTTTGTGCAATTTTTACTTTAGACGTTCAAACCTTGTACAATTCAGATTTAAAATTTTTAACCCTTGTTTTTTTTGACATTCAGCCATGAGTGAATTTATAATTTTTGGAAATTCACCCTCGCATCCGGTGCAACTTAATAATTTATTTATAAATTAATTTAACAAATAAATTTGAAGGCTGGTTTTTATTCAAAAAAAATATTTTTAAGAATATTTAAAATTAATTGACATACTTCAGCTGTTTACACTCAAATTTTATTCAGGACTGTATAAGTGGCATGTTTTATTTACAACGGTACCCCTAGGAGCTGTGTCTGATAAAAACGAGTGACAAATCTTTTATCTTACTAAATTTAAAAGTTCAAAACGGGGAGTCTTTGCAAAATTGACTTGTGGCTTTATTCTACAGAAACAATAGAGGAAGCTGTGAGCATTAACCTCCTTTTAAGCCAGAAAAAAAGACGATATAATGTATCAAAATAAATATTTAAGGGTTCTATTGTGAATAAGGCAGGTTACTCTTTCAAAAGAGGAGCCGCCCTTAAAGATAGAATTATAACGTCTCATAGGAAATGTTTAACGTCTCAGGACGATCTTCAGCTATTAATTTATTTCCAAGATTTTTCTAAAGATATACACACGAAACATGCAATTTGATGTGTAAACCTTTATATATTTTAAACTTAGATTATTTGATCTATCAAAATTCATGGTTTGAAATATCAAAGGACAATGTCATTTTGTTGCAAAGATATAGGGATTAGAAAATTAGAGTTTGTGGCAAAGACTCAATTCCTTTGAGAAGGTAAAAATTTCGTCTGGTGAGTTTTGTTTAAATTTCTTGATTCTTCTCATATTTAAATATTTCTATTTGTAAAAAAGGTTTATTAATATATGCATACATATGAAGCATGTTCTGAACACCCATGTACCATTTGCTCGATTTAAAATAAATAAATTGTAAAAACATTTTTCAGTAAAAGGTACAAAATTTTCCAAATTTTGTACCTTTTATTTTTCTTCTCGTTAAGTTGGCTAATCTTAAAGAATACTCCGTTCACATTTCTTTCCTTCCGTCATACTAAAGTGAATTCAACGTCATATATCAATCTTGGCTCCTCTTCAACGGAATGTCAAGGAAAAATGAAAGGGGGTTATAGGCTGACACCTAAGCATATTAAGAGTTGATAGTGACCCAGGAGAGTTCTATCTGATATTCCTGTCTCAAGAAATTGATGTAAACTGTGTCAAATTTAAGCAGATATAATTGATAATATAGATATGTACGTGTCATGTGACCAGAACTCCCACCAATGGCAATTGGCAGTGCGGTATCATTATCACATGACCAGTTTACTGCACTGCCATTTGTGGAAGTTCTGGTCACGTGATAAGGACATATAAATAAAAATATCAATTATATCTTTTATAAATGAAAAATTTTAAATTCAAATAATAATAGAAGCAAACCTAAGTTTCTAAGGCTACTCTGGGATATCGTCATTTCCACATTGGTTGTGTATTTGCTGAATATGATCCGTTTAAACCTACTATTTGTATACAAAATGTTTAGATGTTTGAATAAATTTGACACAGTTTTATATCAATTCCTTTGGAGAGGAACATCAGATAGAACTCTCATGGGTCTCAATGAACTCCTAAAATGCTTAGGTTTCAGCCTATATCCTCTTTCATTTTTCATTTACAGTCCCTTTAATGAAGATTAAAAAGCTCATTGTCTTAAATTAGATTATTTATTTAAGAATCAATTGCATGATTGAGTATTGAACTAGTAGTTGACATTCACTATTAAAATGGAATAAAATAATTCTACTTTTTTCAGCTTATTTGATTTATTAAAATCAGAAAATCAAGGTTGAATTATAAACAAGGCTCTTTGGGCTTTTTGCGCCCATCTTATATTTCAACTTTTAGTTCTTTCAGCTTTTTCTCTCCGATAAAACAAAAAATAAAATTTTTTACCGAAATTACAATTAGTTAAGTGAATTTTCAATATTTTACGAAAATCTAAAATTTTTGGAGACACTCTTTTGTATTTCTGAGCGTCCATAAACCTTCCCTGGGGTCATGTGAGGTCCCACTAAAAATTAGGACCCGATCGGCTCAGCCGTCTTGACGTTTCTCGGTTAAATACAAACATACAAGCAAAGTGTATATAAGATAAGATGTTAAGTGGTGTCCATATACGCCATCTTAAAAAACTGAAACTGATTTATAACTTTTGTGTTCGATATTAAGAATCCCGTTCGCTTGATCTCGATATGCAGTATGGGCACTTTTAATTTGATGATCAATTAAAAAACAAAAATGTTACCAGATGGGTAATAAAGCATACCGACAAACAGACAAGCAAAGCATATATAAATATATTGGATTGGATCTAGCCTACAATATACTTGAAAACTGGAAATCTTCACAAAGGGTATTCACGCTAAATATTAATCTTTAAAAAAATAATTTCATGAAAAACCTTTTTTTAAATTTTAAATTCATTTTATTTTTTTCAGTTCTTGGACACCCTTACATGTATATATATATACACGCTTTTATAAATGCAAACCCAAACCTTCAAGTTTGCGGGGTTGCGTAGTGAGCAAAATCTTCTTCCTTTAACCTATGGCAACACAGATATTGGCGCAGCAATTTCAAACCACCCTCNGTTTATTAGCCATGTTTAATCACTACCCTGTATTTGGTTTATTAGCCATGTTTAATCACTACCCTGTATTTGGTTTATTAGCCATGTTTAATCACTACCCTGTATTTGGTTTATTAGCCATGTTTAATCACTACCCTGTATTTGGTTTATTAGCCATGTTTAATCACTACCCTGTATTTGGTTTATTAGCCATGTTTAATCACTACCCTGTATTTGGTTTATTAGCCATGTTTAATCACTACCCTGTATTTGGTTTATTAGCCATGTTTAATCACTACCCTGTATTTGGTTTATTAGCCATGTTTAATCACTACCCTGTATTTGGTTTATTAGCCATGTTTAATCACTACCCTGTATTTGGTTTATTAGCCATGTTTAATCACTACCCTGTATTTGGTTTATTAGCCATGTTTAATCACTACCCTGTATTTGGTTTATTAGCCATGTTTAATCACTACCCTGTATTTGGTTTATTAGCCATGTTTAATCACTACCCTGTATTTGGTTTATTAGCCATGTTTAATCACTACCCTGTATTTGGTTTATTAGCCATGTTTAATCACTACCCTGTATTTGGTTTATTAGCCATGACTGAATTTTCGCCAATCAAGTTTTCGATCTTTAACGACCTTTCAATTTTAAAATGTGAGACAACATGGATACTTGTAAAATAAGTTACAGGGTGTTTCACAAAACATGACATTAATAAGGCGAATTTAATGTCGTCTTTGATCTTCGAAAAAAAATTTGCGAAAAAAGTAAAATTCTAGAATTAATAATCACAAAATACCCCTGAATTGGCATTTCCAAAATTGTGTCTGCCTTTTTTGTGCTAAACGAAATTGTTAATATCTCCGGTGATATATTGACAGCACAAAAAAAGTTAGCCACATTTTGGAAATGCCAAGACTAAAAGAATTGTTTGGTTATTGTTTCCAGAATCATACATGTCAAAGTAGGTTGACCACTGAATGTCACAAATAAAGTCAGAGTTTGAAGACAGCATTGAATTCGTCTTGTAACTTTTATGTTTCGTGGGACACCCTGTATGTACGATCATTTAACAGTAGTAAGGAAAATATCAAAATTTTAGAATTACAAAAATTACCTTTTTAATGAAAAAAGGTTAATATGAGATAATACATCAAAAAATCAATTTTGACATCGTTATAAATAAACTTGTATTTCGAAAAAAGCTTGTGAACAATCAAAACTTAAATAAAAAAGTATCTTCATTGCATTGACATAATCGCCTACCACTGTGTTATATCTATATTATTCTATTATTTATCTTCCATTACTTCTGTATATGATAGTAATAGATATATGACAGAACATCTATAATTATAATATTATTATTAAATAAATAAAAAAGAAAAAGAATATTTTTTCCAAGAAGAATGTTAGTGAAACTATACAAGTGTGTTAATGATTTAAAAAGTTGATGCGTAAATACGGAACATTTAACATTGCAATAGCATGCAATAACAATGTTTCGAGAAAAACTACCAACCTACCTACCTACCTACCTACCTACCTACCTTACTACCTACCTACCTACCTACTTACCTACCTACCTACCTACCTACCTACCTACCAAACTGTTCGAAAATCTTGACAAACTAAAAATTCAAATGCTGAAACAAAAAAATATGGCAAGAGGTATTTAAAAGAAAAAATAGCAAAAAAGTCTTCAAAGTGTATCGATATTGTATTTTTAAATGGTTTTATCACTTTATGATATTTCTAAAATTGTTTGATTTTTAGTCAAATAAAACAAAATTCTTTTGGGCAAATGTTCATTACAAAACCGGTGGTGATTTTTAAACGTATCTCTGAATTTAGCCCTATAGTTGCTGGGGATACTTGAAAACCAGGATACGCTTTGAACCTGCCCCCCTCCTCCTCTTAATCACATGTTTGATGTCAAAATATGAAAATGAAAGATACATCATTGGAAAGAATAACTAGTTTCGAAGAAATGATTTATAATTTTTTAATATTATAATTTATAATAGTTTTTTGTCGTTTTTTTGTCGTTTTTTTTTGTTTAAATATGTTTTTAGAATTCTTTGGAACACAGAGAACCTTTAGCACTAAAGGTGAAATAAGTAAAAAAATCGACCTACCCTACCCTACCCTACCCTACCCTACTCTACCCTACTCTGAATACAAAATTTTCAAATTTTGATTATAAAATGTCCTTCTTGATTTGAAATTAAGTAGAAATAAAATCTAAAAAATAAGTAGTAAAAGTATTGTCTTTACTACTCTTTCTCTCTCTTATTGAAACAAAAAGGTTGTTTTAAGGTTTTTTATTTTTTTTTATATATATATTTTATCATTTTTGGATGAAATAGGTTTTGACTATTTTTGTCCTTCGGAAAGAAAAAAAATCAGGCCCAACAACAAATTTTTTTTAAATGTGAATTTTAAGAGATTATAAAGAGCGAGCTGTTAATAATAAATGTACAAAACAACCATCACAATTTATCGATAAACGTCGTCTTCAAGAAAATCTACGAAATGTTTTGTGCTAATCAAAAACCCAACATTATCAGTTTGAAAATGTCGCAGTTAAAATCGATTAGTATTAAAAATCAAAAAGAAGTTCAGTTTTCACCGTATTACTTTTAACAAATCCACCAAATGAGAAAACAGGCCATTATGAAGACGACACGTCACAGTATGGTTGTACAAATATATGTTAAAGCTGTAGAGGACAATGTTTTAACTTGCAATAATATAAACCAATCAAGGGTATATGTAAATATGAAATATTTAAACTAAAACGGAATATCCCTGAGTGATTTAAAGTTTGAACCATTATGATAAATTGATTTGCATTTGCTCTCTTATTAAGAAACCAGCCCCTATTGAGAAAAAAACATCGCTTAAAAAGACTTAAAGAATAATTTAAACATTAATACGTTATAACACACAATTTTGATTATATATAGATATATATGTTTAAAAGCTAATTAAAAATATAATAGAAACTATGGTCGTGAAAAAGAATACAAATTTGAGAATACGGGCGATGTATTTTTATAAAGTTTTTACTTAGTTTTAGTATATATTTAAGGGGAGGGAGGGATCATAGAGAAAGTATGAAAAAAAAATAAAAAAAATAAACATTGTGAAGAAAAACAGTGGAAAAGAAAAGTAGAGATAAACATAAAAAATTTAGAAAAAAAGTGAAATTTAGAAATGAGGATGAAATTTGAAGAGAGAGAGAGAGAGAGAGAAAGGGGTCTGAAGAAGGAGAACTATTTCATAAACTGTAAGGCCGAAATTTGTTTGATATAATTTCTGATTGAATAGTCATGTGAATATATGAGTTTACGCCACAGATTACACGGTAATGAGGGATCGTCAGTTTGAATATTTATGTACAATATGTACATTAACAAGATATATGCAGTACACACATGTACAAGTATAACCAAATCCCTAATTTGTGTACATCGCTATAGGAACTTCTGACTTCTGGTTTCATTTGTTTTGTATTTTTATGCACAGAGTTCAAAACAAAAAAAATGCCTTTTTTCCAAATGAAGCGCCAACCTCCTGTTTTTTTCTTGTTTTTTGTTGTATGTAAAATAGTTTTATGTTCAGCTACACCTAGTTCTTCACATTCATAAAGATTAAAAAACTTTTAATCCCGTAAATCGTGGAAGGTTTGCCACCGTCACGTCGAAAATAAAAGGAAGGCTCGCCCTCTCTCCCTCGTAAATGAAGGGAAGGTTCGCCCTCTCTCCTTCGTAAATCAAGGAATTTCGCCCTCTCTCCCTCGTCAATAAAAGAAAGGGTCGCCACCTTGTCCTCGTAAGAAAGAAGGGGTCGCCACCTCGCCCTCGAAAATAACGTTAGTTTCGCCATCTCTCCCTCGCCGCATAAAGAAGGCAGTTTCCCTTCTTCTTACAATCTACACATTAAACAGCAGGTGTGGGGGAGTAAAGGAGGATGGAAGGATAGAAGGAAGGAAGAAGCAACAATCATATCTTCCCGGGGTAGAAAAAAGATTGCTTTGGGGCAAGCAGTTTGGGATTCTCCTTGCTGTAACAGATTCAGGTTCTCATTGGATCACCAGGGTGGTTTGCACAAATATTCTCTTCTCCGGGTTGTACAGAAACTACGGACTCCGTGGTAGAAAAAATCTTTCTCCAGGTTGACGTAAAACTATGGACTCCATGGAAGAATGAATTCTTCTCCAGGTAGTCCTGAAAGCAACGGATCCTGGAAGAAGACTCCTATGGACTAGTTGCAGGTAATATGTTTGGTTTGTAGAGAGGAGAATATATCCAGTACATTGCACATTTAACACATAATAAGCTTGAGTACAACGCTATCAACTCAGAGTTAGAGCTTATCCTTGGATTAAATTTGGTTTGATTTTCCACAGTAAGTACATTATGTACATGGACTGAGTACTGCAAGTGTATTCACTTAAATACTGGCGCAGGTTTGGTTTGGCTCAGTGAATTAAAGATGGCACTGTGTGTACTGTGAGTTGACGTATCACGTGGTTTGATTGGGTGAGATGGTCCACTGTAGAGACCCCTGACAGCTGCAAGAACAGGTGTAACAGGGGGCGGAGGAGGCCGAGGTGTCGGGGTAGCTGGTGGTGTTGGTGCTCCCAGGGTTAGGGAAGGTGGTGAAATAGTATCCGTTGGAGTAGAGCACCCTGGGCTGGCATGATGTGATGATCTCGTAGGTTGGTATGTTGGTTTGACTGGGTAGAGAACATTGAGAAGGTTGGTTCAAGGGAGTTACAGCTCCGGGTTGTACCTACAATACAAACCAATTAAAACATATATTAATTTAAATATATTTAACACAAAAGTCTATTAAATTTTGCAATTTACTTCTTGTAACTAAAGAAATAAGCGCATTGAGCAATATTCTGAAATGGAAAATACAGAATGCAAATATGAATATATTTAAGATAAATAAATATATATAAATATGCTGAATGTTTGTGTATGATAAATTGAAGATGATGCCTAATCAATCTTAACCTTAAACAGAATCTTCTATATATTGCATAATATAGAGGGTTATCCACAACGAATGGAAATTTAAAGGGACTGCTAACTAGATGACAGTGCTCGATTCACAACGGTACGCTTAAAAACTTTATCTGATCAATAACGTGGAAGATATTGTCGTTTTTGTAGCGTTTAATTCTAATAACAAATCTGTCAAGGGAATTGGATATTGCCATCTTTACATGGAGGTTCACTTAAAATTACATTTACATTTCCTTTAATGGCGACCAAAATCTTTTGAATTAAAACAAGAAATTGGTCTAATTTTATCAGCTTAAAGGAAAAACTCGTTTAAGAATTTATATGGGAAGAAGGGACTGCAAAATCTGTAAATTCATTTGTGAAATAGTTTAACCAGATTTAGTATTCCCTTTCTTGACATTGTAATGCATCGAAATTTGTTTCAAAATGGTTCATGATGTGCGGACTAGAAGAATGAATTGAATGTTTTATTTCAACGTCAGGGTTAGAAAATGCAGTATGCAATATTGCTGTGGACTATCTGCACACATGCCAAGTCTCACGCTCCCCCCCCTCCCATCACACTTTACTTACCAAATATTTATACATATGTATTGTGTATGTATGCTGTACTATATTCGAACTATAAACGTTTTTTTTCCAGATTGCATCGTTTAATGTTCTCGTGTTATTCTTTACAGCGTACATGAACAAACAGTGTGCATGTACGTAAGTGTACATGTCCGTACACATTACAATGTACATGTATTACTATTTCTACGTGAGGAGAGAAGGGGTATTGCTGATGCAAGACCGAACCTATTAAACCTAACTGTATCCAGGCATAGTCGGGGATGTGTATTAAATATATATATATATATATGTATATATATATATATATATATTTGAACTAGAATTCTCTGTAAGACCCTAATACTATGCAACCCTATTCATGCCATATCATTCAGACCAGGAAGCACAGGATGGTCCAACAAACAAGCAATTGAGAGACGAATTAAAAATCGTCTTTGAGGTTTACAACACCTTTCCAACGTAAAAAATGAAAGAAAATATTTGAATCCTCTTTAAATTTCCCTCTGTTCGGACGTATTTCACATGTTTAATAGAAATTGCCAGTTTGTAAAAATGTGTCGACAACGAAGACGACCTTCAGTGGTAAAACATATATTTCTGTATTTAATTTTTTCCTGGTTTAACAAGTTCATGTGAGGGGAACCTTGTAAATCAATTTTTTTTTAATTTCCTTGGTTCCTTCACAATTGGTGTGGAATACATGGATAAACAATGTTTATTCAGGTGTATCTTATTTTGTAAATTGATTACACGGTCCTAATTCGACATTTAAATGGATTTCTCGTTTTCTCATTTGCTAAGTTTCGATTAACCGTCAATTTATAAACCAAGTCCGATTCACATCAATACTTTGATCAGGAATGAATGATGTATATTTATTTTTCTCGCTTAAAAATTTATTGTTTCCTTTATTGGTTTTTCGTTGCTTAAAAGACATAAAGCCGTTACTTTCCAATTGCTACAAAGATTAAAGGTTTATAGGAATCAATAAACAAAACTTCAACTGTCGTTCATGTTGTTAAAAAGCAAATAATTTATATAGTAACTTATTAAATCCCTTTTTACGTTTTTTAGGATCTGTTTTCAGGGGAGGGGGTGTGTTCCACTCCGCCCTGTGGTGTATTCTGAATAACTTATAAATGGCTTAAATTAAAATTAAATTAAAACTTCTATACTTTTTTAACATCATCGTTGTGAACAAATTTTGCTAAAAAATATTTTTTTATTGACGCATAGGGTAGGCTGGAGAATGGTGAAACGGCAGGTCGGTGTTTAAAAAAGTCAGAAATGGTTAATAACTTTTTTTATTAATTAAGCTACAGGGCAAGACTTATAATGGATAAAATAAAATGCGTCATTTGTTGATATTTGCTAAAAGTAAAAATAATTATTTAGAAATTTTTTTCGACATACTTTTTGAACTTTTTAAACATCCTCCCTTACAACCTAACCATTAAAGTTAGACAAACATAGCCCAATCGCCATAGGGTTAAAGTCATAACTTGAGTCTGAAAGTCATCTTCCTATTCTAGAGTTTTCTGAATCTCACTGTATGTTAAAGAAATGTCTTTTTTGTTTTGTAAAACTATGAGTGCAGTATTTTCTATTTTTTTCAGAGTTTTTATCTAGGTTTGGAAGGAAATAAATAAATGAATCATTTTATGTGGTCGTTCAGTTTTTAATATTCTACAAATGGACACTATATTATATATATATATATATATGTACAGGGTGTCCCAAAAAACAGTAGGTGTACCCCCTAAAAAAACAGTAGTGGTCTCTAGATAAGATTAAATATCTATATACATATATATAATGTTTTCAAATTTTCCATAGAAACGTTAGAATGACTTATTATTCTTTATATGCTAATTGCTTTGATAAAGACAATGTACAAAATATCTAAAAAAATCATATTGAAAATGTCTCAGATTTAGGACAAAAAATATTTGGAAATTCAGAAAATCAACTGAAATAAGAAAATCAACTGAAATAAGAAAATCAACTGAAATAAGAAAATAATAAAATTTCGAAAAAAAATCGAAGTAACGATTCTACTTTTTACTTCAAGAATCGTAAGCCATCACTTTAAATCAGTTCCTTTAACTTCTTTACTTGAAGTTACGTAGAACATTCCCTTTAACTTCTTTACTTGGAGTTACGTACAGCATTCCTTTAACCCCTGGCCTTGTCATTTGTCCCATACGAGATTACGACATATCTGATAGAATTAAACTCTTAAGACGTTTTAACAGATTAGTTTCGGTTCAATTTTTAAATATTTTGTAAAATATTTTCAAAAATATTGCACCCCCTCCCCCCCAAATCATTTTTTAGTATACATTTTTAAAGAAAAATGGGGGAGTTACACTGTTGCCCCCCTTCTCCTTCTTTTTCCTAATTGCACTTTATTACCTAATTATTGTAATTACCACAATATGATTTTCGTATAAAAATCACAAAAAATGGTTTTCTTTGAAACTCTTTCGTATCGTTCGAGATAAAAATATGTCTGCCCGAAAAAAAAAAATAATTTTCTTTTGTTTAATATTTAAAAACTCAAGAAAGCGCAACAATGCAGTAATTCTAAATAATTTTAAAGTTATTGGATCTTTTATCTGAAAATCTTTGATTTTACAATGAATATTTTAACAACCTTTACAATATTTTTAAATCCTTCATTATATTATTAACTCAACCTGGATTCGGTATTAATATCTTAATAATTTGATTGCATGTAATATGATTAAATTAATTCATTGTATAAAACTAATGTGCTAACATTTTTATTAACAACCCGTAAATTTCTTTTCAGTGGTGATATTTTTCATGTTAAATAATTTTTTTTATACTATAAATATAAGAAAAAAAATGTCTGAATATATTATCAGAAGTCGTCTTTAAAGTTTCATTCTTTGTGGGTAACCCTGTATATATAGTTTTATGGCTGCATGTGCCACCTTGCCTCCCCCCCCCTCCCTCCCCCCTCCACTAGGCTTAAATCGAGGTTATGGTCCTGAGCGCACAATGCATATCTAATGGTTTAGTTTCTGTTTAATTATTTCATTTTCTTCTCGTGTGTTTTCCAAACGTACAATACAAAATATCGATAAATAAATAGTTTTAAACTTTTACAGGTATTTCAATCAAGTTAAAATGCAAGCAGAAGCGTATCTAGAGATGCACAAACCGGGTTTAGTGGTTTGTGCAAAAATACTTTTTCTCCAAGTACAATGTCAAGTTTATATATTTGGTAAAATAAATTACTAAAGTTTGCGCATTTTTTCTTCTCATGCAAAATGTAGTAAAGCAATGGCATCGGCATTTTATTATTGTTTAAAGCGCATAGAACATTGTTTTACTCGTAACAAAACAAAAATAGAGTAAAGCGTTTTTTTTTTGTCTGTAAAGTCTTATAAATGAAATTTTGTAACTTAAAAGTGCCGTGAATATTTTTAGAGATATTTCATTTTAAAAAAGTTAAAAATTTCGCAAACCCTAAGCGCCATTTGTTAAAAGTATTAACAAAGACGACAGTTATTTAAAGTTATCTGTTTCTTTCTATATTTTAGAACAAAAATAAACGAACAACATGGTAGAAATTACTGATCGTAAGAAAATCATATTTATCAGAACAAACAAGTAAATTTAAACTAAGGATGTAGTATAAAAAAATTAAGAGGCATTATAACGGGATCCTTCATTTGGCGTACCGTCCCGGTGCTCTAGCTAGTTAAAAGTCGGGCCGGGTTTTTTGAAATGAACTGGAATGTACAGTGAAGGATGCCAAAAAGAGTTGAAAAGTGATTTAAAGAAAAAAGCTGTACAATAAAATAATTTATAGTCCTGAAGAGTAAAATAATTATATATATGAAATATATTTTAAAATATTTGTTTAAGTATCTAGTTAAAATCATATAATAAATATATGTTGAAGAATGTCCAACATGAAACACAGTGCCCAGCAATAACCTAACTTAATAAACAATAGAACATGTTCTAGACTTATTTTAAGAAGATAAATATATATGTAATATATGTGATTTATGTTAACAATATTTAAATAATTATAGCATCAATATCAAGAGGGGATGTGAGGGTTATTTTAAAATATCGTTATTATTGTGAAAAATATTAATTAACTACTGCATGAGACAGGGCAGACTTAATCAAGTAAGTATTTGGCAATATTCTGAACGATTTTCTCGTTAGTTGTTAAAGGGAGTGTACGTCTAATTTTAAGTTAGTTAAAGGGAGTGAACGTCTAATTTCAAGTTAGTTAATGAGAGTGTACGTCTAATTTCAAGAGACCCTCCACACAAAGATGGCAATGCCCGATTCACAACAGTACCTTTAACAACGTGGTTCTCTTTTAACCTTTGTTATTATTCATGTTGCAGCCATCGCTGTTTGGAAAAGATTTTTTTTTAAAATCTCTGCAGGGTACCCTTGTGAATCTGAGAGACTACTGGGAATGAGACGTCCCTTGAAATTAGGACTACAGTCCTTTTAGCTGAATAATGACACGTACCTGCTGAAATGTTATCGTTTGTTTAGTCATCTCTATCCCCGGCTGTATGGGTGGTATAGAGGGAGATATGGTTATCCTTGGAGGTGGAACTGTAAAATCTACCACACCCCCTCCTAGACCCCAGTCCTCACAGGGTTTAGGACTTAGACTAGGACTAGAACTTGACGTGGACATAGGACTGCATTGTCCTGAGGACAGGTGGGAGGACGGGGGAGGATGGGAGGACGTGGGCGGAGGTGGATGAGAGGAAGGGGGAGGATGAGAAATTTGTGGATGAGAGGTGATGAGATGGGATGATTGTGTGTGTGAAGGATGGGATTGAATAAGATGAGATGTAACACACCAGGCAGTGCTACTCGACGAGATTGGATCCTAGAAATAAATCAATCAGTGATCGATTTAATGAATTAGAGAGGTAGCTGAACTACCTAAAGCAAGTTCAAATCTTGAATCAACGATTCAAATCCTTATGAATCTTTAATTTAGAATCGGTAATTCAAATTTTAACCGGCAGTTGGTAGTTCAGCTGAGCGACCAAGCTCAAATTTATTAAATTCGCCCCCAGCTCAATATGTGATTTAATAATCAATCAATTGCATATCAAACTTAATTTTTTTTTGTATTTCAATGTGTAGAGTGTACATGTAAGTTTAGGATTTCTTATCAATTGTTCAGTGAAATTTTTTTTTATTGTATTTTCATTCTTAAATTTGAGAAATACATTATTTTATTAAGAATCAAATATGCACTTGAAATTATGCAAAATAAAAGCATGCATTACTTTAGCAATTTGATTCATAAAATATGTCATTCATATATCAGGGTTTAGATACATTCATATATCAGGGTTTAGATACATTCATATATCAGGGTTTAGATACATTCATATATCAGGGTTTAGATACATGTGGATTTGATAAAGAGATTCAGCCTTGTAAAGAATTTATTCATTCATTTATCAAGTTTATATTAAGTATTCATCATTATTTATACTGTATCCTGTTTTTAAAAATTCTGTATCCCATGTTCCAAAATACTGTATCCACTATTCCATACTGCTGTATCTCTGAATCCCTGTATCCCTGTTTCCATGTTACCATGTGACCCTGTATCCCTGTATCCCTGTATCCCTGTATCCCTGTATCTCTGTATCATACCTCGTATGGAAGAAATACGTTACAGCTGAGATGTTGGATGAGAGCCAGAGTTTGCCTCCTCTCGTGTCCCATGAGGCAGACCGTGGACTCGTCAACCACCTGGTACAGGATCATCAGGTAGTCATACTTTAACTGGTCACCAGCCCCTAAACAATACAATGATCGTTAAAAGATCGTCACAAAATCATTATTTAACTGATCACCAGTCCCTAAACAATACAATGATTGTTTGATGATCGTCAAATAATCATAAATTAACTAAACTCAAGCATCTAAACATTGATTACCAGAATTGATCGTCAAATGGTCATCATTTATCTAATCGATTGCCAGACCTTGAACCATACAATGATCGTCAGAAGATCGTCAAATGATCATAATTTAACTAATCATCAACCCCTTACTAATACAATGATAGTTAGATGATCGTCAAATAATCATAATTTAACTGAACACCAGCCCCTATACAATAAAATGATCGTACAATGATCGTCAATTGATCATAATTTAAATAAGCGCCAGCATCTAGACAATGATCGTCAGAAGATTGTCAAATTATCATAATTTATCTAACAGTTAATATATACTGATCTCTGTTAAGTTTTAAAGGAAATTTTTATGATTTTTAGATCAAGACACAACTCCTTTATGAGATTTTGAACAAGAGAAATTTTAAACTTTTTTAAATTTTAATTTCAAATTTAAAACTTTTGATATAGTATTTTTATAAATCAAACAAAGTATGAGAATATATATTCCGTCATTAATCAATTAAAATATAACAATAGGGTTTCAAATATCATATATATATATATTCCGTCATAAATCAATTAAAATATAACAATAGGGTTTCAAATATCATATATATATATATATTCCGTCATAAATCAATTAAAATATAACAATAGGGTTTCAAATATCATATATATATATTCCGTCATTAATCAATTAAAATATAACAATAGGGTTTCAAATATCATATATATATATTCCGTCATTAATCAATTAAAATATAACAATAGGGTTTCAAATATCATATATATATATTCCGTCATTAATCAATTAAAATATAACAATAGGGTTTCAAATAT